GAAAGAAGAGGAAAGAGAGTGGGAGACAAAGAGAAGGGAGGGAAGGGGAAGAGAGGGAAGGGGAGGAGAAAAAAGAGAAAGGGAGGAGAGGAGAGGAGGGGGAAGGGAGAACAAGTAGGGGAATAAAGAAAAGGACAGGCAGAGAAAGGGAAAGGGAGAGGTGGGAAGGAGAGGAAAGGGGAGGGGAGAAGATGAGAGGGAAGGAAGAGAAAAAGAGAGAAGGGGAAGAAAGAAGAGAGAAGAAAAGGTGAGGAAAGGGAAAGGAAGAGGAGAAGGAAAATGAGGGGAGGAGAGGGAAAAGAAGGAGAGGAAAGGGAAGGGAAAGAAAAAAGAGAAGAGGAAGAAAGAGGTAGGAAGGGGAAAGAAAAGGAGGGAAGATGAGGAAAGGGGAGGGAAGAGAAGGGAAGGGGAGAAAAAGGAAAAGGAAGGAAGAGTAGGAAAGCAAAGGAAGAGACGATCTTGCTCTCTGGGACAAGCTAGGGACTGGATAGCTGAAATAGCAGAGCAAGAAAAGCATGTCTTGCCTGTGACCCTTTAGAATGCTGCACCTGGAGGTTCTGCCATGTGTTACTATATCTGTCCTGTGCTATTCAGAGTCCAAACATAAGGCAAGGCAAGGAATGTGTTATCAGATCTGGGGTTGTTTTTTTCTTTTGACTTTTAATTCATCCTAATTTTATGGCACCCTGACCTTGGTTTGGCTCAGGATTTTCCCATAACATCATAAAAGCAGAGCTGAGTTCAGCAATGACTTTGGTCTAGACTATGTTTATAGAGGCAGCCTGGGGTTAGTGGGCAGAGGGCTGGCCCTGGAGCTAGGTGGCTCTAAGTTTAATCCTTACCTTTGGCACATACTGACTATGTGACCATTGACAAGTGATTTAACCTATCATGGATCTTGGTGGCTCTGACTATAAATTATAGACCCAGAACTGGAAGGGAACTTAGAGGCCATCCACACTAACTTCATTTTACGGATGAGGAAACTGAGGCCTAGAAAGGGTAGGTGTCTTGGTTGAGGCTACCCTGATAGTGAATGGTAGAGTTGGTATTCAGACTGGCCTGTGTTTCTGCTATCTGTGGGTGGATTTTGAAATAGGGTAAAGTTTCAGAAAGTCAGAATCAAGGTCAGTGGTAGGGGTGGGCATTGTAGCAGCGCTGCAAGCAGAGGGATGGGAGTATGTATGGGAGTAGCCTGGGAGAAATGCCTTGGGGGATAGGAGGGGAGCAGTTTAACTGCTAGAAGTTTTTATCCAGCAGACTGGGTCAATTTCTGGCCCAGTCAGATCTGTGTCCAATTTATAACTCATATTTACATAATGCTTTAAGGTTTACAATGCATTTTCTTTACAACAAAAAATATATAGATAGTACAATATTATTGTTCCCATTTTACAGATAAGGACTCTAAGGTTCTGAGAAGTGATTTTATTTTATAATTCGTTTGTTTGTTTGTCCCCAGTCTCAATGCCTCAGGTGTCTGAGGTAGGATTTGAATGTCTTTTTTCTTCACTCCAAGTTCAATGTTCTTTCCACCATGACATACCGTGTCTCTACTACGACATTATGAGCTACTGTCAATGCTCAAGCACTATTCAAGGATAATGATTTAAGATTTTTTTTTCCCTCCCAGAACTCTCTTCGAGTTTTGTATCTCTTTTTTTGCAGTTATGTTCCTCATTCAGTCATATTGTTATTTGTGTAGATGTCATCTCCCCACTAGAGCATCAGTTCCTTGAAGAACCAGGTTTTGTGTATCATTCTATCTCCCAAAGCACCTCGTTCAGAGTAGGTATTTTGTAAGTGGCAGTTATATTGTTGATGGCTAATAAGATGGTCTTTTGGGTGAGGGTGATGTTAGCACTAGGAAATGAGAACATTGTGTGCTCGACTAGTTGGGGCATGGTTCATGACATTTGGCTGGGTAGTTTAGAATTTGGTGTGAATGAGGCTTAGGTCATGAGATCATATTTTCTGTGAACTAGTCAATCACAACCATATACCAATTTGTGTGAGAGAATATGATTGGATTCAAATAAACCTATTCTCATAAAGGGAAAACAAACACTGTTTTGTCCTATAGATGGTGGGTCAGGAGTAATACTTTGGAAATTTAGAATGCTGGACCTGAATCCTTAGAGAAAATACAGTTCAACTCCCTCATTTTGGAGAGGAAACCAAGTCACCGTGAGGGCAATTGATTTGTTCAAGGTTACACTGTTGGAAAGGGGCTGATCACAGGGTACCAGCCAGGTCTTCTGATTCATAGCCTAGTATTCCATCCAAAACATTTAACTTTAAAGGCAAAAGAAAATTCATTGAGGACTCTTTCGTGTGTTAAGTTAAAGAATACATCAATTTCACTTCAGTCTTAAGAGTATATATTAAAGTTGAACTGCTAATATTTATGCCATTAACAGAGATAAGTTGGGTAAGTTTAGGACAGCTCAGCCAGACCCCTTAAGTAATGAATGAATTCAGATGTGCCCTGAAGGTCATTTTAAAGAGGAACCAAAAATGCAGTCCCAGATGCAGGGGGCCATTTGATGATTTACTGAGGGAAAATGGGCCTGCAGACTTAACTGCTGAGTCATGACGCTCAACATGCTCAGACCATCAGTCATCAATAATGGTTTCAGCAGACACAAAGAAATGAATGAACCACAGTTTACTTTAAAGTGGAAAAGAAACCTGGAAGTACAAATTTAGAATATCATGCTTGTTAGGAATGCTGTAGTGGAAAGAACATTGGACTGGGAGTTCAGACACTTGGGTTCTAACCCCAGCTCTGCCAATAGGCAGCTGTATGAGCCTGAGTAACTTAATCAAACTCTTTGAGCCTCACTTTCCTCATCTGTAAAATGAGAGGGTTGGACTAGATAATTTCTAAAATCCTTTCCATCTTTAGTTTTCTATGACAATATCACGTTGCCGTGGGTCCCCCAAGGCATGTTGATATTTACAACCCAAGAAACAGAAATCAAACCAAATTCTTTCAAGAAAGCAGCTTGTTGAGAGGTAAGGTATAGCTAAGAGGAATGAAATAAAAGGTAGAAACATCTACTTGGGGAAAATGCCATTTAAAAACCTTAAAAAAAGAGGGCATGTTAAGTACATTAGGAACCTTAGAAATAATTGTGTAGGATGTTTCCAAAGTGAAATATTTCTTTTAAAAACTATTGACTAAATTATATCTGTAAAGCTATCCTTGACTTCTCCTACCCACAGGTATGCTTTTCTCAACTTCCTTGATCTTTGTTGGTTTTGAAGAAATGTTTAAAAATCACAGTGGGTCTGTTGGAGGAATATCCTGTATTTAATTTTTATAGTATTTCTAAAATTTTTGCCAAAAATTCCTTTGCCTTTCCATTCTTTTGAGATTCCCAAAATTAAGAGAATTAAGCCATCTCAGGATGAGGGCAAAATTAGTTTTATTTTTTCTTGTTCTGAAACCAGCCTACTTGGGTAGGGAAGGGTTAGGAAGCTTTTTCTGCTCATATATACACACACACACATATATATATATATATATATATTTTCTCTTCCATGCAGGATGAGGCTGACTAGAAGGAAATAATGGGTCCCTGAATCACAAGATCTCAGATTCAGAAGTGGCCTCAGCTGCCATCTAGGCCAACACTAAGGTAAACAAGAATCCTTTCTACAAAATACCCAGTAAGTCGTTTGAGCTTTTACATGGTGGTATACATGCCTGAGTTTTCATATAACAACTAAACTGCCCTTGGCGAATTTGGAAACCCAAAGGTATAGATGAGCAAGATTTTAGAATTCAGTATTTGTATATGAGGAATCTTCAATGTCATTTAGTACCACTCCCTCATTTTACATAGGAGGCAACAGAGGACCCAAGAGGAGGTGGAGGGCTTTACATCAAATCTATAGAGCATCTGGAGGAGGACAGTCAGGTTAGTGAAGGGCTTTGTGTCTATGGCATATGGGGATCATTAAAAGAACCAGGCATGCTTAGCATGGAGATGAGAGGGCTTGGGGTGATTGGGGTGAATTGCCTTCAAGTATCTGAAAGTCTGTTATATGGAAGAACAATTAAAATGAATTCTGTTTGGCCGAATAAGAAGGCAGAACCAGGAGCAACCAGTAGAATTTGCCAAGAGGAAAATTTAGGCTTGATGTTGTGTTGGGGAAGAAACAAAAACCAAAACCTCTAACAATTCCAGCCATCCCAAAGTATATTCGAGTTCCTCAAGAGATGAGCCTTGAGGTGGAATACTTCTGTTTAGAAATCTTCAAGCATAAGCTGCATTATTACTTGGTGAGTGTGTTATAGCATGACTTCCTTTAGTGTATGGCTTGCACACATGTCTGCTGAGGTCTCTTCCCACTTCCAAACCCTTAGATGCTCTTTCTAATAGCTAGAGGAAGAATTAGGACCTAGGTGGAACCTGCTAGCCTTCTTCCTAATCTAGTGCTCTTCCCACCTTCCAGTGCTTTCTGCCATGTGTCACACTGCCTCTCACACTTGACTCATTTATCTGTCTAAATGTTGCATTTCCCCAGAAGAATGTAGGTTATTCGAGAGCAGGAACTGATGGATTCTGTTTTTGTATCTCCAGCACCTAGCATCATGGTGCCTTACATAGGAGCAGACATTTAATAAATATTTGTTGAATTGAACTGAATTTTTGGGCTGTTGAGTGAATGAATAGACAAAGAATCATAGGCCTAGGACTGGAAAGGACCTCAAAAACCACTCTGTACAACCCTGTCATTTTGCAAATGAGTAAACTAATATCTAGGGCATTGCCCGTGGCCATACAGGTGGTAACCAGCCATCTTTGCTGTCCTGTGTCTCTAGATGTTGAGTAACAAGTAACAAGAAATATCACATGGATATGATATCTGAACAGAAGAAAGGCATGATTTGAATTATACTCTTTGCACTATGTCCCCAAGCAACAGCCTGTCAAATTCAGGGCCCTCAGGAGGTGAGTGCTTTCTCAAGGCTAGTGAGATACGCTTACCAGTTTCTGAGTCAGTCCTGGAGGAGCCCATTCATATGTGATGGTATCAAAGGTGGGGTCCTTCCCTGTCGCAATAGGGTTGGTCATAATCATCCGGTTCCTCTTGTAGATGCGGATGCCATCTCCTCCTTTGACTCGGGCTGTGAGGGTGGAGTATTTGGAATCTGTCAGCAAGCGGCCAATTTTCCGATCATCTTCCATTTCGGAGCTCAGGCTGTGATCTTCATAGCTGCATTTGCATGACTTGCATATTTTCCTGTGGGGGGGAGGATGGTGGGACAAGTGAGATCATCCTTTGGCTATGAGTATGACTGGGGCTGCATTTGCTCTTTCGAAAGCTCAAAGTTTAACTTAAGTCTCTTGGAAAGGTTAGCAGCAGGATCAGATTGTGACCCTAGACAAGGAGCTGCCTTTGTGATTGAAAACCTTATTTGGGAAAAGCCAGCATGATATTTCTGCAAGGAATGTGCTGGTGATGTGGAATATGACAGATTTTTGCTGCTTTCCCATGGGGAAAGGGAGATTGTCCCTCACCTTCCTTCTCCTACAAAAAAAAGCAGTTGATTTTTTGCCTTTCAGTGACAGAGGAAGGCTCATTCATTAAAAAGATGCTTCCAGGAGTTTCCCTTAAGATTTATGGGCCCCATAACAACAGATACTTGAACATTTGGCTATGTTAGTGCACTTTGACAGAAGGCAGCTGTGAAGTTTCTTGGGGAAGAGTGGACAGCACCCAGAGGAAAGGAAACCTATTAGAAGGCTGGAAGCTAAGGAGGAAATATCGGAATGGCTGAAATTTGGCTTAACTTGGGGAAGAGGGTGTGTTTGTGTGTGTGTGTGTGTGTGAGAGAGAGAGAGAGAGAGAGAGAGAGAGTGCATAGTTGTGTGTGCAAAGAAGAGTAATTTTGTAACATTCAAATACTGACACTTGTCTTGAACAATATTCACATTAGAATCTGGCTACTTGAAGGCATGCAGCTAAGACTTAGATATCCAGACACTGTTACTCCCTGATTGCAGGAAAATCATTCCTTTCCTTTTGAAAGGTTCACTAGAGATAGACTAAGTTTCTAATTCCCTAGCTTTTACATGTTAAGAGTTTGTTCAGTTAAGGGGAACTCACCACTGATCAGCAAGCAAGCTTTTGTGTTTTGTTTCTAATTTGTGCTGGGGCAGCCACTTACCCCCCGCTCCCAGGGCCTCGCCATGTTAATGCTGAACTTAATACAGCTACCTGATCAGCAGAGCCCAGCTCATGAGATCATCAGTTTCGAGATCCCTCAGTAACTGGGATCACAGGTATGCACCATCATGCCTTGCAAGCAGTGTTTATTTCAAAGTCTCACCTCCTGAAAATGTTTATTTGCTGTGTGTGTATTTTAAATGGACTTTTCATGTATATGTTCTTACCCCCAGTTGACTATAAACTCCTCAAGAGCAGTTAATATTTTATTTCTATCTTTGTATTCCCATTGCTTAGCCTAAGGCCTTGTGCATAATGAAGTAAGAATACCTTATGTAAGGAGCATGCTGTTATGGGAAGGAGAGTATGTTGGAAGTCAGAACTCTTGGGCGCTAGTTTTAAGTCTGCAGGTTCTAGTCCTGTGAGCCTTAGTAAATCACTTCAGCTTTCTTGGCCTCAGTTTCCTCCTTTATAAAATGAAAGATCTGGAGTAGAAGGTAATCTAATTTCCCTCCCTTTCCAACATTCTTGTATTCGCTGTAGGTATCCAGAGGCTGATGGGATTGAATATCTCTTAAACAGTACTGTAACTATACAGCAGCAGAGTTAGCTGAGGGAAGAAACTCTGTTCTTTATCATCAAATATATGTTGAAAGTGATCTCTTCCAGAAAAGGAATATGGGAAAACTGAATCATGTTCAAGACAGTTTGCTCAAAATTTAGATAAAGACGGAATTGTTGCTGAGAATTTTCTTGCTCAGAATTGCCCCTGGAGTTGGAGGTTGTTAGAAGTCCACCACAATTAGGGATTAAAAGAAATGGATAATTTTTTGGAATCACAAAACAGATACTAGCTGTGTGACCCTGGGCAGGTCACTTAAGCTCATTGCCTCCAAAAAAGCCACCTCAAAACAAACAATTGCCACACAACCCTCATACTATGTATGTGTGTGTGTGTCCCTGTTCTCTAATTTCCTTCCCTCCCCCTTCACCATCTGGGATTTCTCTCCCTCCACTGACATGTAAACAAGTTCTAGGTATGTAGAATGCTAAGACTAGATTGATTTGAGAAGAAGGTTAAAATGAAATAAAATGAGAAATTCTCCACATGCTCAGAAAACCCAGCCCCTTTTGACATACATACTCTGAACGGTATTTGCACTGAAGAAATCCTTCACCACTGTACTCTGGAATCATATTTCTCTGTGAATTGGGAATTAACCTTTACAGCAAATTAGCTAGACTGAAAGTTCCATTCAGAGAAGAGAAATTGAGTTTGCTCTGGGCCAGTACCATTTCTTTGTCACCCTGTGTTGGGCAAATTCAGCTCCCAAACAACCATCTTCTTGCCTGCCTTCATTGCCTCTCTGGCATCAATGTATCATAGCTGATAGCCGTCAGGAAGACCTGGGTTAAAATCTTGCCTGTTACACTTACTGGCTGTGTAGACAAAACACTTGATCTCTCTGGGCTTCAGTTTATTCATCTGTAAAACTTGTGTGGGGTGGGATTGGACTCCATGCCTCTGAGGTCCCTTCCAGCTCTAAATCTGTGTCCCTGTGACTTCAGACTCATTAAGAGCTAGAATTGATACCAGTCTGTTACAGTAATGGGACTTGAACTGAATGTTTGTTTGGCATGTAATCTAGCTTGGTGATGTACACTTTTATAATTCAAGACAGGAATAGATTGGAGCTGCAGTAAACCACATTTATGGACTTTATAAAAGTTCATCTATTCAACAAACTACAATTAAGCATACACTTTCTACCAGATCCTGTGTTAGGTACTATGGAAGATAAAAAGGTAAACATATCCCCAGACTTGCCATCTTGTTGCTGATAAGCAAATAAGAGTAACACATGCACCTAAAAGTATGTGAGAGGCTGTAGTGGGAAACAAGGCTGAAAAAAATCAATCAATCAATCAATTAATATTCATTAAATGCTTACTATGTGCCAGACACTTTGCTAAATGCTGGTAACACAAAAAGAGGCAAAATAGGAGAAGTGAGGGGAAGGAGGGAGGAAACAAACATTTTGTAAGTGACTTCTGGATGCCTGGCGCTGTCCTAAGCACTGTATAAATCTCTTATTTGATCCTCACAGAAACCCTGGGAAGCATTTGATACTACTATCATCCCTATTTCACAAGTGAAGAAACTGAGGCCAACAGAGGCTAAGTGACCTTTCCAAGGTCCCAGAGCTAGTTGTCTGAGGCTGGATTTGAACTCAAGTCTTCCTGATTCCAGAATCTGCTCTTCTGTGCCATCTAGCTACCTTCAAGCTGGAGGAGATCTTAAAGATTATTTGGTCTGCTCTCTTCATTTTATATTTTTTATCTTATTGTGAGAGAGACCCTGCCATATTGTACATGTTACCAGATCTGGAGTCAGAAGATCTGTGTTTGAATACTACCTATTAGTTGTGTGATCTTGGATAATAAATCAATCAACAAACATTCATTTAATGCCTATGATATGCCAGAGATCATACTAGGCCCTGGGTATACAAAGCCAAAAATGAAAAAAAAAGTCCCTCTTTTCAAGGAACTTACATTCTATCATCCCCTCAGGGGGGTATAACATCACCTAAATAAGTGTAGACAGGACATAAAGTAAATACAAGATCATTGGGGCGGGGAGAGCACATGGCGAGGACTGGGAAAAGATTCATACAGCTGAGCTTGGAAAGAAACATGAGGTTCTATGAGGCCAAGGTGGGAAGAGAGAGCAGTGTAGGCATGGGAATAACCAATTCCAAGGCCCAGAAATAGAAAGAGCAAAAAGTCCAGTTTGGCTAGACCTTAGAGTGCAGGAAGGGGAGTATGATAAGACCAAAAAGAGAGGTTGCAGCCAGGTTGGGAGAGGCTTCAAATGTCAAACAGAAGAGTTTATTTATTTATTTATTTTTATCCCAGAGACAACAGGGAATCCTTGGAGTTTCTTGAGCCCCCGAATGACATGGTCAGATCTGTTAGGTTGCCAGCATCACTAGCAGGTCTTTGGGGGATGGATTGGAGAGGGGAAAAAAAAAAGAACAAAACTTGAGTTAAGGGAATCAATTTAGGAGGTCAGTGATTTAACAGCTGTGAACCTTAATTTGCTAATTTATAAAATGAGAGAGGCGTGGTTGAGTTAGAAGATCCCTAAAATATTTTCTAGCTTTGAATTCTATAAGCTCAGAAAGGAAAGATAGATAAGCTCTTTTCTAATCTTGGCAAGCCACCTATGATCAAGACTTTGAGATAAGACCTACATAAGGTGAGCAAAAGGGAAGTCAGAGGGGACACCAATGATCAACTTCCCAATGTCTTGGCAGCCCTGCATAAAGGAAAAGACACTTCTATCATAGAGCTGTGTGATTATGAACTATGTGACACTGGTCAAGTCATTTAACCTCTCTGCTTCAATTTCCTTATCAGGAAAATGGGGATAAAAATAGTACCTACCTCCCAGGGTTGTTATAAGGATCAAATGAGCTAATATTCATAAAGTGCTTTGCAAACCTTAAAGGTCTATATAAATGCTAGCTTTTATAATAATAATAATAATAAATTAATGAATTACATTAACCACAACCAACACACAATTCATTATTAATACAATTACTTATCAAATACAATGATACAATCAATTATCAATTAGATGTCTATAATTAATTATATAATTAATCATAATTTATAATTATTTATTAACAGTAATTGTTATTAATAGGAAAGCCTTCTTGGAGGTGCTGGCACTTGAGCTGAGCCTTGAAGGAATGAGGTTCTAAGAGGCCAAGGTAAGACTAGAGAGTGGAATGGAAATAACATTGGATTGGTAGCCCAGCTCTTGCCACTGACCACCTGTGTGACCTCAGGCAATCATGTCATCTCTGCAGGCCTCAGTTTCTTCCTGTGTAAAATTAGATGATCTCTAAGGTTCTTTCCACCTTCAACATTCTATGGTTCTAGTTCCTTATTTCAGTTTTCACTGGTTATTCATTAGGCTTTTCTGCTCAACTTATTTAGACTTAGCTTCTGTTTACATGGTTTGGGTATGGAAAGGATCGCCTCAATTTCTTCTGTAAAATGGGGATAGTATTACATGAAATACTTACTGCCTAGGGCAATCGTGAAGCTCAAATGAAATAAGGTAGGTAAAAGTGTTTACAAACTTTAAAAGTCCACGTAAAATCAGATGTTATCATTATCATTAGTCATAGTAGTATTTGCTAACCTATCAGGGGTCTCTGAGTAGGGCTAGTGTTAAAGTCTTTTTTTTTTCTTTTTGGTAAATAACTTTGCGTAGGGAATCCCAGTGGAGGAATTCTCTCTATCAATGCAGATCTAACACCTTCTCTGCAATTTTTATTCTTAGAGAATTTCTTGGACATTAAGAGGTCTAAGGACTTGACTAGAGTCATACAACCAGTATGTGTCACCAGGTGGGACTCAAACCCAAGGCTTTCCTGACTTTGAGCACAGCTCTCTACTCTGCTGTGCCTCCCTTGTGTTAGAATTCCATCAAACTTCAGTAGATACGGTCTCTTAGCCTGGGTGCTGTCTCTAAAAATTGCATGAACACTTAACCTTCAAGAGGTGAGCCTTTCCAAAGTCAGTGAGGTTAATCCTTGAATGAAAGTCCATCAACAGGCTTTTTCTTGCACTCCCTACTCTTTGGTAGGATCCACCAGAATTATCCTCTGCTGGCATAGATTTTGAGAATTCAGTATCAACTCCATGCCAACACAAGACTTCAGAATGGGATTTCAATAAAAGTAAAATGCCATTTTGATCCAAACATAGGCCAGCCTTGACTAGAAATCACAGAGGCAGCTAATGGCTCAGTGAGTTGAGCACTGTGCGGCTTTAATTCAAATCTGACCTTAGATATTTGTATGACCCTGGGTAAGTCTCTTAATCTCTGTTTGCCCCAGTTTCTTCAACTGTAAAATGGGGATAATAATAGCATCTACCTTGTAAGATTGTTTTGAGTATTAAATGAGATAATGTGTGTAAAAAGCACTTAGCATAGTGCCCAACACATGGTAGGTATCATATAAACACTTATTCCCTTCCTCCTCTTTCTCCCTAACATGAGATCTCTCTCTTGAAAGTTATATGAAGGATGAGTTAGAGAAGGAAAAGACTAGGAATGGAGACAAATCAGGAAGTTACTGTGATACATGAGGGCCATTTCAATGGAAAGAAGAGGATGGATGGCAGAGATGTTGAGGAAGTAGAATCTTACGAGACTTGGCAATTGATTGATTATGGAGGGCAAGGGAGAAGGAAGAGGAAAGGATGCCCGAGGTTATGAATCTGAGTGACTGGATGAATGGTGATGCCTTTAATAAAAATAAAAAAATCTGGAAGAGTGGCATTTTTCAAGGTCAGATAGAATGAATTCTGTTTTAAATTCAAGTTGACTTTGGCTTTCTGAATTTGAGATACAGTATGTTGAGATTCCAGGTGATTTCCTCATGAATAGAACAGACATAATGCCATCTGTCTTGGCTACTTCACAAATCCGTGTTGAGAGTAAACTGAGGTAACGCTATATAGATCTGAAAGTGTTTGAAAGGAACTCTGCAATTATAGTTAATTCCATAATTCTAAAGCCCTATGATTTCTTTAGTGTGGATACAGAGGTAGATCCCAACCCCTCCATGATATGATTCTTGTAGGTGGTTTCTTTAAGATATTGTGACAACCATCCTCCCCACCAAAAAAAAACAAAAACAAAAACAAAGAAATCAACTGTCTGCTTTATAGCTTTTCCTAATTTAGCTGAGTTGGTTCTGAAACAGTTAACTTATGTTCATTCCTGGCTCATAATAGGCATTTAATAAATGTTGTTGAATCGAATCAAACCCCCAGGTCCGTGCTGTAAAGCTCTCTAGCTGGGTAAATCTAGCTGGGATTTCACTCTTTGGCCTTCAAGAATCTAGGGTCACTTCTAGGCCATGAGGCACCAGGGAAGGACTTTAGTAGAGGCGTGTGCATATCATGTATCACAATTATTTTTGTATGCTCTGGAGAGCCCCTTGTCCAATGTGCTTACTCAACACATATTCCCTGATTAACAACATAGCCCATATATCGTGTCAGTACAGAAGGGCTGTGTCAGTACAGAAGGGCTGACCTTAGGGTAAACCAGCCTGGGGGAAGGGGGATAAAAAAAAAATCACATTATATACCAATGCCACCTCTCCTTGCCATTTCTATCTAGGTTCAAATAAATATTTAGAGCAAACTTGAAGAGAAAGACAAGTCACCAAAAGGGCAGCCACAGTGGGTTAGGATGGAAAGGGGAAGGGAAAATCCTTGCTGATCTCCCCTTTTGCTTTGGTGATTAGAGGTAGAGGCTGTTATGGACTGAATGCATTTTAAGAGCCTCAGGTCTTTTTTTAGCCTTGGTGCTTTTGCCCAGGCTTTACCCCATGCCCATCCTGGAATGTTCTCTTTCTTCACCTCCACCTCTTAGAACCGCTAACCTCCTTCCAAATAGAGCTCAGATGCCAGTTCCTATAGGTTTGCCCTCTCCCTCAAGTCTCTAGTATTCTTTCCCCACCAAAATCCCTTTGTATTTACTCTCTCTATATTTTGTATATAGTAACTTGCATAGTTGTTGGTACCCTTCCTCCAAATGACTCTCCCAGCACACACACACACACACACACACACACACACACACACACACACACACA